CAGCAACTACGTACAAACAGCACGGAATAGTGCGAGAGGGTATAAAATGTGTGACAACACAGAGAGAGAGCGCAACAGAGAGGAAGAGGAGACGGGCAGACAGAGAGCTACCTTGAGGAAGTGGAAATTAATTTGGCAGTCCTGAAAGAGACAGGAGAGAGAAACTGGAGCATTAGTAAGGAGAGAGCCAGGCGGCCATTTGTCATAAAAGGAGGAGAAGGTGCTGTGGAACAGGAGAGGCAAAGTATTCTCACAATCTGAAAGCGGGTAGGAGAAAAGGCACATTTATGCAGGAAAGAAACAAAAATACCGAAATGAGAAAGGAAAATTTAAAAGGGACATGAAGGCAATAAGGAGCAGATTTCGTGACATCCATACAAGTTAGAGATCTGGAAAAAGCAAACACTACTTGCAGATCTTTCTTTTACTTTACTTTTGGCCTTGTTATCTGGAAAATACCTTAATAATTTAATTTTGAAACCAGAGCTGTAAGTCACTACCAGTGGGATCACACAGAATTAAGAGAGCGTCATGGGTCATTGGGAAAGGAGGGTTAAGGCACAGAAGGTTCTGTTTTTTAGTTGTGCATTTTTATTTAGCTGAAAGGTGCTCTTTGAAGTATACAACTTAAGCATTTTTAAAATAGAAAAACTAATTTAGTGCTGGCTCGATTCTAGGGCTCCAGTTTTCTTTAGATGAAGATGTAACGTTACGAGAACTGAAACTCTTTTGTAATTAATGAAGATGATTGGTGTGAAGAATTTCCTGAGTGCTTTGTGCACATCTGAGCTCACTTCCACAGGAGTCACACAGTACAGAGAACTATGGATCAAAGCAGGAAAATGCAGAATAAAAAGAAATTTCTCTGACTAATGTCATGCTTCACTATGGAAAACTAATCATCAATAATAAATGGGTGAATATAAAATACAGAAATGCCTGTAGTCAGTAAATGAAAAGTTCTAGTGCTGTTTTCATAAGTGTACTGTACTGTATACTGTATACTGTGCAGTACCTACATCATAACTTTGATTTGTAAACTGCAAATTTCTAAACACAAATTTCATAGAAATAAAAACATGGAAAATGGGCAAGATAAGAAATACTTAGGTACATCAATACTACGTGTGTGAAAATATCTAATTATTATAATAGTCAATAGTAAAGCTGCATAATAACACATATTATTTATAGGTATGTTCCAGAAACCCAAAGTACTGTAATAGTCAAATGTAATTGAAGCACTTTTAAATCATCTTAAAACTCACTATTATACGCCAGATTTTATTTCTGTTTAATTCATTCTATTACGGTTTTTGTCGTTGTGGGTTCCCAATTCTTTTGGTTTGTTTTATTATGAAGATTTTTTTCAAATCCTTGAAATTCTTCATCATAAAAGGCACTAAATAAAATATATCTAAAATATTTTTTTC